TGCCACCACAAGTGGGAAATGTTGGGCCTGTTTTTCACACCTCTAACCCATCGTTAACACCACCTGAACACAGACAACCGCACCTGAGAAAGGTGTTCGCTGTCAACGAAACGATCATAAGTTTTTTCTTTAATTTAAAGCAATGAGGAAAAGGCAGCGGTGTGAAGTCCTGACGCTACCTGTTCTAAGGTAAATCACCATGTATCGCACTATGAACTCACTCGGGCTTCAGATTGCTCTGCAGATAAAGCAGGAGGAAACTCTAACTTACACCCACTACAAGTGTATCTACAGTAAGGAATGAGATAACTAAATGCCCTTGGGGAGATATGAGAGGCATTTAAAGTATAAAAATTGCTTACCTTTCCCTTAACATGTAAGCAGATAAACACAAATGTCTCTGTTCAATAGTCCCTGAAAGTCTGATGCAAACCCTCAAACGCAAAGGAAATTAAGGCTTAGAGGCAACCACGGTGCAAGGACATGCAACCCCATGACAGAGCATTCCTCATCAGCTCAACAATAAGTGGCTCCGGAGAACTGCGTGAGTTGGCGGAGGTCGTGGGCAAAGTGAGCGTGGGAGGGCAGAGGCTGGCACTTCTGTGCCAGACACAGAGGCCTGGGTGTCTCACAAGGGCATTCCCAGCTTACCAGGTGCTGCGCTGCGCTCCGACTTTCAGTCACGTGGCTGCTGGGATAGACACTGCTTACCGCATGCTAAGAGAGGGTGGGAGCAATTTGCTTTACTGCTCTTGCCAAAAGCCTCTATTAGTATATGTTATGAAAGCTCCAGAGAGGCAAAGCATTCCAAACACCACTTTATTAAAATTAGTAACAGCCGAAATTCCCCCCAGTTGTTTATGGACAGCAGGGCTGAAGGAGGCAAGCGGCAAAAGCAGGAGAGGAGACAGAGAAGCCTTCACATTCTCTGCAGTGTGACAGGCCAGGGGAGTCTCCGTATGATTTCAGCTGGATGCTGCAATGCTGCCCCCTTCCCCCACAGTGCACGCCGAGGGCGAGACAGGTTTTCAACCTACAGAAGCAAAGTGTTACTTACGGACTAATTACTGGTTTACCATCCCCCAGCACCTCTGAGCTACCTTCACAGCCTGTAATTGACATTCCTGTAGCTATTTTGATACTTCTCTGATGGTAGCACCGAGGCACGCACAGCGCCTGCAACTTACCGAATTCACGTGCAGAGGCAGAGGTTTGCACCGGCGCCTCCCGCGATCCGGACTCCTGCCCTTCCCGCAGATCGCCTCCCTCATGGACGGTGAGCTGGAGTAGCACCGGCTGCCTCCCAGCCTCCTCTTCCCGATGCTGCAGCCCCGATCCATGCTGCAAGAGAATGAAAATTTAAAGCTGACCAAGAAGAGAGATTGAAAAGTGGCAAAACCGTCAGGTCATTATATTCAAATGTGATGACCACTTGGCCCTTTGGGCCTGTTTATTCTGCAGATTCTGTGCATGGTGGTCTCAGTGAATCGACCCATCCTTTTTTCCCTTTGCTGCTTCCTCACCTTTAGCACAGGCCAAATAACCTTTTAGCTCCTGTCTTGCACCCCAGTAGCTTGTTGCTTTACAAAAGAGACAGGAGATTTAGAAAGTCTACAGTTTTGAGACTGACCCGTGTTTGAGCTCCAGCCTCTGAAACAACAGGCCTCCTGAAGCAGATACAAGCTGCTTCTGTACCATCGAATTCCTTGCGATATGCAGAAACCTTCGCTTGGATTTCTTTGGCAGTGACTTGCACTGAATCATATGGAATTGTCATTTTGCATTATTTCGATCAATTATCATTTCTGCATTCTACATTGGACCATAAGCCCTGGGGGACTTCAACGCATGGAAAGGACTGGACTAAAGATTTTGAGCAGAGTATGAAGATTGTGCAGGCCCCGATCTGCATCTTCTGCACACAGATCTGCCACCGTGCCACGGCAGCGCCCCCCGCTACAAACACTCGTATGGGGCTCGGGAGGGACACGGTAGCGGGCACACGGGGTCCAACTCTCCCCCACGTTGCTGGGTTTTGGGTTTGGTGGGGTTTGGTTGGTTGGTTGGTTGGGTTTTTTTAACCGAGCTCTTTCAAGGATAATGGGATGTTTTCTGCAGGGCTTCCTGCACACGTACTGATCTGCGTGAACCCGAGTTCTAGATTAATAAAGATTATTTTTATGAGAAATAAAAGACAAACTTGCTCTTCGGCATGAGCGGAACACCTGAGATCTACGTGAGAGCCTCAGCTCTGCATCAGCACAAAGTATGGCAAACACGTTAAGAGATTTTCTACCATACACACAGGGCACCTTTGTAAACATTTAACTATACATTTCCACATCAACTAGACACTGATCACAGAAAACATCATTTGGTGTAACAGAAATTCTGTGTGATAGCACACAGCTAAATGCTGAAGGAAGAACGAGCAAATAACAAAGCAATGCACGTTCTTAAGCAAATGCGTTCTAACGTTCTGACGACAAAGGGACTTTGGCTCCTCTCTGCGTACGTTTTCTTTCAATACAAATAGGTACAACTACATGCACTGAAGGAGAGAAGCACTCTCACTTGAATTCACTTAAATTAGGGATAAAGCGCACAGTCTGCAGAAGTCCTATGGTAGGCATGAAGAACAGATAGATGGACAATATAAAAATCCTATGAAAATGACAAAGTCCAATTCCCACTGCTGTCAGATGCTACTTCACAAGTTAACGCTGCTACAATTTCATCTGCGTGAACAGATGCAGGCAGGGGCCCAAACACGACAGACGCCCCCGGATCCTGCTGTGCTACAGGAACCACGAGCCACTTGCGGTCTCCTCCAAAGCCTAATGAAGTTTACGGAAAAAAGCCCGGGATTTCAACAGGCTCTATCCAAGCTGTGCCCATATATAGTCAAGCGCCCTCGAGTTTTCTCCTCCACCCAAGGTTTTTTTAACCTTCCTAGTAATATTCAAAGCACGCTTACATGTATGAGTTGCCGCTACTGACTAGCACGTTGGCTTGTATCTCTTACCTTGCTCTCCTTGCATATCGTGGTACTTCTTACTAGAGAAAACACCACAAACAAAGGGGAACTTATAAGAATCCCACAGCACTCAAAAGACATAAAGGCCTAAATACCCAAGGACTCAGATGAGGCAAGTAGCCTAAGTCTGCATCCACTGAAGTCAACAGATGTTTTATTATAGCCTGCAGCAGGGCTCAGAGTTAGGCCAGAGCTAATGGGGAAAATCACAGATTCCTACTTTATGATTGATTCTCTTGAAAAGCCTTCAGTGGAGACATTTGATTGCTGCATTTCACCAATACTTCATGGTTTCAAAAGCAATCAAACTAACCTTACTTGGAATGATCTTAAATACCCCTTTAAAGACCTTCCAGGCTGGAGTTTGAACATGGCACCTGAATTACAAAAGGGCACTGGACAAGCCTATAGTGGTACCCCACACAAGGGTATCTTCCCTCTGCCTAAATGAAATGAGGAGGTCAACCCAGTGCAAATGTGCCCTGAGTAACAGGAGAGGCAAGCCAGGACAGCAGGCTCCATCTCTCCTCCCAACCCCGTGAGACCTGTCACAGTTTCTTCTCACTGGGGTGCAGCTCAGCCCTTGGCAGAGCTCAGAACTGGGGTTAAAATGCTTCTTTGCAGCTCTCCCATGTGGCCCGTTCAAGGGAATTGTCTCCGCAAGGAGTAAACAGAGGTGTTTTCCTTCTGCATTGAGGCACTTGCTCTTGGTGGGAAGAGGGGACACCTGCTCTGGGTAGGCCAGGAAGGATGAACCTGAAGGGAACTCCACTGGACCAGCAGGAAAAGGTCAGGGAGCAATGTGAGGGGCCACACAATTCGCTCCGACTACCCCCAAGCTCCTTACTGTTTTGCTGAGGTCACGGCCATTTCTGTGCAGGCCTTGGAGCGTCTGTGTGTTGGTGTCAGGTCATGCCCTTTGCCTGCGTCACTCCCCATTCTTCTTGGGAACAATCAGGAAGAAATTCCTGGTGTTTCTTGGCTCCTGCACACATTTTTCACGCGCAGGGGAGCACCTAGCCCATAGAGAACATTTTTCTGCTGCTGTAATCTTGATGGAAAAAGTAGTTAGTAATGGAGGAAGGAATTCAGGAGATGGCTGAGAAGTGCCCGAGGGAAGAGAACTTTCAAATGTATTTGCACATGAGAAGTCATGAACGTGCCACCAAAAAAGTCAAGGAAAGTATTAACAAGGCAAGGGGAAAGGGCAAGAGAATTTCCTGTCTTGCAGCTCGTGGGGAGTCCTGCCTGCGATTCAGTGTGCCGGTTCACTCCAGTAATCCTGGACAGCCTGAAAGGGCACTGCTCTGAGAGTGGCAGCGGACGCCACAGAAGTCATCCATGGGCAGCCAGAGCTATAAAGTTACTTTTAGCTGGAAACTGAGAAAACACCACGCTTTAACCTCTAGCTGTTGGACGCAGAGGGGAGCTCATGCAAGCCATACCCAATTACGAGAGGGCACAGCGAGCTACAAGCGCGGCTGTCACAGGGTTAGCCACCTGCCTGCTCGGCGACCGGAGCAAAATGAGACGTGCTGTTGTTCAGTCAGATCCTTTACACCACCTGAACTACTGAAAAGGGGTTTGCAACACAACTACCGAAGCCAGCTCTACTGCTGACACCTGCGTTCACCTAAGAGGGGTCCAGACATCCAGTTAGAAGATGTTCTTTCAGGACATATAAGCTGAGCTGCGCCTGCTCAGGCTCACACAGGGGTTTCAATGAGCTGTTCAGCTGTAAAGGTGTAAGCGGGAAACCAGAACACAGCTGATCCAGCGAGATACGCATCTCCTGTGACTTTCCACAGATCGTACTCTGCCATTAGTGGAATAGTCAGCTGTCCCCTAATGCAGTTCTGGGTCTTGAACTTTGTTTTGCTTTGAAATATGCTCTCTTGTTTCCTTTGACTTGTTTTACAGGGTCAGGTTGGAAGTGACTAATTTTACAAGCTCATTGAGCACAGTGCCTTTCGCCAGGCTCAACTTGCCTTCATCTTCTTGTTCACGCTTATCCTGAAATTCACAGTTTGCACCTCATCACCACCCTGAGAGTAAGGCAGCAAGGGAAATGAGCAGAAACCCCTACCTGAAGGTTTTCACAACCACCACCTCGTTACAGCCTTCGGGTACCAAAGGAGTTGCTCCTATGTGCAGACCCAGGTCTGATCTCAAGTCAAACAGAAAGATTAGGCCCCATAGCCTAATCGTATGGGAATTGTGCAGTCAATTATTTCCCTTGCTGGATAAGAAAAATAATAGCATCATATTAGACAGGCTGGCTATTCTTCTAGACAGGCCTCATCCATTGCAAGGGAAATCCTCAGCGCTGACAGATCAACACCAACGCTGCTAACATGAGTAAGGCTGCGTTAGTTGAAAGCAGCCAAGATTTGGACCAACACATACCTAAGTCCTGTTCACCTGGACAGGACAGACACAATGTCCTGTTCAGAAGTCCAGCTGCAGCATCTGCCTTCCCACCCTTGCCAGCAGCTCCTCTCCCTCCCCTCACCTACAACGGTGATAAATCCCAGCTTGCCAAGCTTCAGTGCTTGCACTGCTAGAGACATAAGGCAGATTAAGCTGTCAAAGCCCACCAAGTGTCGTGCCAGAGCTGCAAAGACTTGTACCAAACAAACCAGTACTTTAGATGCTATGAGTTTCCAAAAATCACAAACACAAGTAAGGCCACTTGGGGGCCCTCCTTGCGTTTCTCTTCCTGAGCAGCATCCCTCCAATGACCACACGCAACGTGATGCTGCAGCCTTGAAAACGGGGCAAAGGCAGAAAACTGTTAGCCAAGTATTACGTGTTCTAGCTACCTGGCACAGCCTGTAATTCAAGGTCCCCCCTCGCTGTCCCTGCCTGCCACTGACCCATCTCAGCCTCCTTCACCCACCCGATGGGTGGCTGCTGGGCTGCCTGGCTCGCAAAGCAGGGATGCATAGAAGCGCCCGGGTCATCCCTGTTACATAGCGCTGTCACAGCCACCCGCGAGGCCGATTCTGTTGCCCTGCGACCTTTACATTCTGAATCAGTATCTATTAAGACAGCTTCCTGGAACAGTGCTCATAGTCAAATCTGCTGCCAGGCTCTGTCAAATGGCCGGCAGAAGTCAATAAAATGCAGTTCATCATGGGATTTGCCATAACCATGGGACACAAACAGACTTACTCTTACATATACAAATGATGTCAAACAAATTAGCTTTGCCTGACTTAGTCAGATGCTCCCACAGAGCACAGCCCTGTCCTCTCATGTCTCAACCCTGGTTATGATATTTGTCAGACG